GGAGAAATTATTCTAGGGGTATTGGAGATACCCTGCACTCATCAAAAATCAAAGTGAGCAGCTGCCAGCTGAAAAAAAACTATAAACACCGAATGCTTTCCCTTTCGCACTCATTCCCACCGAGTGTTCTTTGGAAGGAAATGAAGGGAATGTGAGAGAAATGTGGGGAAGTATGTAGGAAAGAGCCAGTGATGAAGATGATGGTTGAACATCATTTTGCGGGAATCCCCAAGGGGATTTTTTAAATCTTTTTTTGTTCAACCATTTAAAATTTATATGAAATTATTTCAACACATAGTTATTCTAGGGTATATTGAAGGCTTAGATTATAACTCGCATATTCCAATATGCACATCCGTAGGCCCACTGCTTAGGAAAATTATTTAACAACATGTTTTCTTTAAACATATTCCACAACCTGGTTGATATCCCCGCGTTTTTCTTGAAGGGATGGAATATCCCCGGTACACCTGCGAAGGCGATCATGTCGGGTAGGGGGGGGTCCCAAAGTATACATATGTAAAGATTGGAGTCTCCGGAGGGGGGCAAAATAATTAACTCCCCAGGGGTTGAAATAATTTTTACGAAGGTTCACCACCGTCGATGAAGGGGGGGGGGGTCTATCGTAAGAAATTATTTTACCCTAAAGAGGGTTGTTTCGTATAACAACCGAAGACACTATCAACCCCCTCAAAATAATTTTGGAAATTATTTTGAGGGCGGGGAGGGGGGGGGGTAGTTTAGGTAGGGTAGATGTAATTACCATTTTATGTCTCTCTGAATCCCTGGAATTTTTGAATCCTTTATAATTATTTGAATATTCTTAATACATCTTGCTGATTTAAAATCTTGAGCCAGTAATATATTTCAAAATAGTAAAATAATACTGTAGATAGTACATGATAATACCAGTAGTACCGCACAAGGCGGTGGCGGAAGTTTCAAAGATAGGGCACTGTAGGAGAGGTGAGTTGTTGTGATGCGTGGATGCCACAGCTGCTGGATGTAGTGTGGTGTAGTGCAGCAGTAGTTGTAGTTGTAGCGTAGTGGAGTTGTAGTTGTAGTGTGGTGTAATTAGTGTAGTGTAGTTGCAGTTGTAGTTGTGATGTGGTGTAATGAGTGTAGTGTAAGGTAATGTAGTGTAGTGTAGCGTGCTGTAGTGTTGTGTGCTGCAGTGTAGTGTAGCGTAAAGATGTGTAAAGTAGTGCCGTTGTAGATGTAACTGTAGTTGTAGTTCGTGTAGTGTAGCGTAGCGTAGTGTGATTAGTGTAGTGTAATGTATAATAGTAGTAGTAGTAGTGGTGGTGGTGGTGTTGTTGTTGCTGTTTTTGTTATATATAGTTGTAGTTATAGTTGTATAGTGTCAGTTGTGTAGTGTATTGTCGGGGGTTTAGAAGTCAAACTTCCGACAATATGGACAGATGAAAAGCAGAGATGGGAAGAGTCAGAGAAGAGAAGAGCAGAAGAAGGAAGATCAGAAAAGAGAAGAAAGAAGATCTAGGTGCGCGAAAAGGTAGGAAAATCGCGAAACACTGGGTTTTTCTAATGATTTGATATGATTTGTGGCTCCGGAGGGTCGAAAAGTAGGCTCGCTAAAGCGGCGGGTGCGGAGCCAGCTGGCCAGATGAGAGATGAAAAATTGCACGCCGTTGTGGCACGAAGCACATTTGCAAGTGAAAAGCTAAAAACACCTCACGTTCGGACCACTTTTGGGAGTTGAGATGTCGAAAAAGTGCACGGCATTGTGGCGCGAAGCACATTTCTAAGTCAAAATGTACAAAACACGCCAGGTCCGGACCATTTATGGAAGTTGCGATGTCGAAAAAAGTGCACGCCGTTGTGGTACGAAATACATTTCGAAGTCAAAATATTGAAAGCACCAACTCCGGACCACTTTTGGATACTTTTGGAAGTTGTGCTACGATGGTGTGCATTTTTTCGACATCTTACCTTTAAAAAGCGGTCCGAAACTGAGGTGTTTTGTATATTTTGACTTCGAAATGTATTTTGCGACACAATAACATGCAATTTTTAATGTTATTTGACGAGATGACTGGGCACGCGCCCCTTTAATAATCCTACTTTTGGACGACAAATTATTGGAAAAAAATACAATATTTCGCGATTTTTCGATTTTTTTGTATACTTTGATTTTCTTTCTTTGATTTTTCGTTTTCTTTTCCTTTTTCTGATTCTTCCTATCTCTTTTATTCCATATAACAACATTATTGGAAATTTAATTTTTAAAATTTAATATTTTTTATTTAATAAATAAAACCATATATTATATATATTAAATATATAGCGGGTGCCAGAATTATAGAACGGAGCTAGGAGTACAAAAGTACGATAAAATATCGTACCTTTGTACTCCTCCGGGTTCCGATTCCGCGCGGACTCGGGAAATTTAATTATAAAATGGGGATTCGGTTTATAATTAAATTTTCCCATTTTATAATTAAATTTTCCTATTTTGAAATGAAAATAAAATGATAATAAAATGAGGATTTGATAAGATAACGAAGATAAAATGAGGATAATATGAAGATAATGGGCAATATGGGAAAAAGGGGGAAAATAAGATTATAGAATAACAACGCTCCGATAAAAATTATAGAATGACGAAAAAAAATTAGGAATAAATTTAGATATGTTTTTTTTTTTTCCCGAGGAAAATAGAATTATAAAATAACAAAATACGGTAAATAATCGTATTTTCGTATTCCTTAACTTCCGTTTTATAATTTTATTTTTATTTGTTTCTCCGTTTTTTCCTATATTTATTAGGTGATTTTTTTGGATTTTATGGTAATTTTATGGGATTTTACGATGATTTTCTTAGATTTTATGGTGATTTTTATTTTTTTTTAATTTTTATATGTTTTTTTCTTTTTTTTTTGTTTTCGATTTTTTTATTATTATTTATTTTATTTTTATTTTTTTTTTTTTTTTTTTTCATTTTTTTTTTGTTTTTTTTGTTTTTTTTTTTTTATTAATTTTTTTTTTTTTTTTTTTATTTTAGGATTTCTGGGACCCCGGAAGAGGTTTTATAATTCTATAATTGATTTTTCCGTTTTATAATTAATTTTTCGTCGAACGGAAAAATTAATTATAGAACGGGGCCCGGGGAAAATTAATTATA